GCTCCTCATTTGGGAGTCACACTTGTGAGCTTCACGGTCAAAAGAACGGACACCTAAAATTGAACAGTTACAGTAAAATCAATGTAACATATTTTTGTTCTATAATATTTTTTTATTTTGTATTTTGAGATAATTTCAGGGTACTAATTAATATTTATGCAGTAAATATGATCAATTTCTTCCCACTGAAAATAATAAAAAATTAAAAAATATATATATTTTATATTACTTTTCAATTAATGCAGTATTTCATGTTAAAATAGTCAATGCCTTTAAAATTCAATTTAATAAAAGGCCTATAAATACTATAATTGTTTTTAGACATAAATACTTATTTTTATTAAGTTGTGGGTTTAGATATATATTTAGACATTCTCAAAGACAACTTTTTGTAAAGGTTTTAGATTTTTATTTATTTATTTTTTAAATGTTGATTTGAAGCGTCAGTTTTTGAATTATTACTACTACAGTCAAACCTGAACACAGAGAAAGCATTTTGTTACACAAAACATTACAATTCTATAAAAATGTAACAAAAACGAAAAGGAATGTTTTATCAGAGCTTAATTCTTCTGGGTATGATCTGATTTCAGTTTTCTGACTCGTTTTGGCTATATGGTTATAGCCATACCAATTCATTTGAGTGTATAATTGTGTGTGTGTGTGAGTGGATATGTCTGTTTTGCACTCTTTGATGTTTAAAGTGTAACCCCTTCCTTGCTGTCCACTTTTTTACTGCATTGTAGTTTAATTATTGCTTTTATTGTACATATTTGCTGTGTTACAGTCACACCAGTTCATAGGTGTGTGTGTGTATAAGTGTGTGTTTATGCGTGATTGTGTGTGAGTGGATGTGTTGGTTTTGCACTCTTGATGTTTTAGAATGTGTACTTTTTCTGCATTGTGGCAGATTTGTAGATGGTACACACAAAAAATCTCTGAATTGTTGTGTTTTTGTCGATTTCCCATTCATTTCCTATGGTCGGTCATTTTTGACCAAAGACCACAAGTGTGACTATTTTTTTTACGACCACTTAGCCTGCTCGAATCATGCCGTCAATTTTTTTGTGTGTTCACATTCCAATTGCCATAAAAGTCACCAAGTTTCGTACCATTCCGATGAAGCTGTGATTTTAAAAAATTCAAAAGAAGAGCACCAGAGGGGTATTCATTATATATTCCGTGATATTCACCTTTCTAAACAAAGTCAGTGGATGTTTTGAGTTGGTTTTTGGTTAAATGCCTGATATAAGTTCTGTGGTAAACGCAAACTAAAGATATTTTCACCTTTTATTCTACTACATAAAATACATCAGTAATATGCCACTCAGGATTTTTTTAGGCTTTTACATGTCTGGAAAAAGACAGTTGCTAAACTAAAGCAACTAAATGAGACAACAGAGGTTGCCAGGGACAAAAAAACAAACAATCAGCAACAAAATGAATTATTTTATATCCTACGTTTAGCTTTTTACTTCTGGCGATTGTATTTAAGCTACAGAATTCAAAATTCGTTTGTACTGTTGCATAATGTATTCCACAGGAAGTGGAGTAAAGCAGGCAGACGTAGTGTTGCTCGGATATCCGCTGGCCATGTCCATGACCCCAGAGGTCAGACGCAACGATCTGGAAGCATATGAGGCCGTCACTGATCCGCTCGGACCGGCCATGACATGGGTAAGTCACACACTATGCCTCAACCATCATGCGGGTTGGGTTTTTTGGATTTTTCACACTATATTTTCTTGTAAAATGTTTAAATAAGTCTATATGTGTGTCTGTTTGTAGGGCATGTTTGCTTTGGGTTGGTTTGAACTTGGAGATGCTGAAAGAGCCCAAAAGCTTCTGCAGAAATGCTTCAGAAATATCCAGAAACCATTTCAGGTACGTTTTTGCAGTATAGAATATGTTTGCTGTGTATAGTACACTGAAAAAAAAGTAGTGTAGAAACAATTTTGCTACTAGTAAATTTAACCAATAATTAAAAAAAAACTGCAAGGAACACATTATAAATAAACATTACAATTTTGAAGTAGAAAAAAAATTAAAATAGTATTTTCTTGTAAAACATATTACAATAATCCAAATAATCTAATAAATAATACAAGTAGAGCACACTATACGGAATACCGTATCCCACAATGCAATGCAGAACTTGACCTTCTATTTTCAGTGTGGTAAATAAACTCGAAACTATATAAAATTATTTTTACATTTAAAAAAATTCTAAAAATGACATTAAATTTAAATGTAAAAAAACATTGGACGCTTGTTTCGGCCACAGGATAAAAAACTTCTAATAATTCACCCTTTTTGTTCTTGCAGTTTATATGTTATATCTCACAAGCTCTGTCATTTTTCCTCTTAATTTTAAATTGTGAGATATAAACTTGCAATTGCTAGAAAAAGGTCAGAATTGTGAGATAAAAAGTTACAATTACTGAATTGTGAGAATTGCGAGAACACCGTTGCGATATGTAAACTCAGAATCATGAGTTTATATCTCACAATTTTGACTTTTTTTCTTAGTATTGCAAGTTTATATCTTGCAATTCTGAGTTTATTTCTCGACATAGTGTCTGAATTGTGAGATAAAAGGTCGCAATTACATTTTTATTGTTTTATCCCTTGGCAGAAAAAGGCTTCCATATTCAACAACTAAAAAATATATAAATTCCGCACACTACATGATTAAATTTACATTTAATCGAAACTGAAAACTGCATAATAACTACCGTATATGGAACATAATTAATATGCAACATAATTAAGTTGTGACAACAATAAAACATACATATTGCGCATATGTGACCCTGGACCACAAAACCAGTCATAAATTGAGATTTATACATATCATCAGAGTGCAAAAAATCTAAATATTGAGAAAATCACCTTTAAAGTTGTCCAAATGAAGTTCTTAGCAATGCATATTGCTAATAAAAAAGTAATATGCATTATAAAAAGTTTTGATGTATTTACAGTAGGAAATTTACGAAATATCTTAATGGAACACTGTCTTTATTTAATATCCTAATGATTTTTGCATAAAAGAAAAATCGATAATTTTGACCCATACAATGTATTTTTTGCTATTGCTACAAATATACCCTGCTGCTTATGACTGGTTTTGTGCTCTAGGGTCACATATGTCAATATTTAAAGCAGGATACCTTACACATTACACAATATATGAATACCCTAGTATTTAATATCAAATATCTCTATTATCTGTATTTTCCTATTCTGTGTGTAGGTGTGGAGTGAGTCGGCTGATGGCTCTGGGTGTGTGAACTTCCTCACCGGTATGGGCGGCTTTCTGCAGGCAGTGCTGTTTGGCTACACTGGCTTCAGGTGACAAAATCACTGCCGTCTTGAAGAGTCAGTCGCTTGATCGCATCCAGACATCATTGTGTGTCTCGTTCCTGTCCTGTGTTGTTCAGGGTGCAGAAGGAGCATCTTGCCTTCGCTCCGTTGCTACCACAGGAAGTTGATGCGCTCAGTGTGAAAGGTGTGAGTTACCTTGGCAACGAGATGGACTGGTTGATAAAGAGTGTGGAAGTGAGTGTTTCAGTGAGGAAGCCTGCCGAGGAGGAGTCTGGGAGTCAGGCGCCTTCCGCTCTTCAAGTTGTCTTGAATACTGGAACTACAATCCCACTTATTCCAGGTAATAAATTACGAACAGCAGTAATCCAACAATGACTGATAGTAATTAGTGGTGTTTGCTGTGGCAGTTTTAATTCTCTAGAATAAATGAATTGTTGTCCACAGGACAGTCAGTGACATTTCCGCAGCAGCCTGGTCAGATCCGTAAAGTGAATTCTGGTTCTTACTGCTGGCCTGTCTGATGATCCACATTTCTACTTCATACCTTTTATATTTCAGTATACTACATATGACTGTAATAATGTACTCTAATAATGCATTATTATTATTACATGAACATGAATCACAGTATACTCTGGAAAAACTATTTACAATAAAAGATAAAATAAAAAAAAGGAATTTTATTATTATTATTATTATTTTTTTTTTTTAATTGACACAAATCAATGTGTTTGATTTTATGCCAAAAAAAAGAAAATCCACAATAATATTTTTAATAATTGTTCATTTTGAAGTAATTAAAAATATATATATATTAATATCGATAAGCTTATTGTAACATTATATTTGAAAATGTGAACATCAAGACAATACATTTTACTATATTTTTGTAGTTCTTCTGACTGCATTTTTAAATGTATTTTTATTTTCGCTTTTTCACCATTTTTATCCTTTTGGAGTTTTTTTAGATAGAAGAAGCTTTCTTCTGGCAAGCCTTCCAAACATGTCATACATGACCCATACTTTTATAACTGTACTGTCATGAATTTGATCATTTAACATGTTAACTGAGGCCTGTGGAGCCTGCGGTGAAGTTCTTGGGTTGTCTGCCATTTCTCTGAGCGTTACATGGTCTGATCTTGGGGTGAATTTGCTGGGAGGTATACTCCTGGGAGGATTGGTGTCTGTTTTGAATGTCTTCCACTTATGAATAATCTACCTCACTGTAGAATGATGGACTTCAAATTGTTTGGAAATGGCCAATATATATATAAATAAAATGTATATATAATATATAATTTATATATATAATACAATTATTAATATATAAAATATGTAAGCTAAATTTTAAATGAGAGGGTTTATATATATATATATATATTAGTGCAAATAATTGACAGAGTTTTAAGGTGTTCATTTCAGCTGTTTTAAGGATTTAAATAAAAATTTCAAATAATTGTTAAATGCCATAAACATTGCAACAACTTCAAGAAAGCTACATTTGTGTCTTCCGACTACAAATCACGCCTGATGTCGAGCGTAGTTTCGTGCTACGTCGTGTTCTTTCGGTAATTTCCGTTTTGATTCGGTAATTTCCGCTTGCTCTCCTTCCTGTGTTGATCTCCCGTCCCCAGTAAAAGGAGGCCATTATCCTGCAACCATTTTCTTTGCTTTCATACCCGAAGCAAAAATAATAAATTCATTATTTATTCGTGCAAGTTGACTAAGCGCTCGCTGGACACCTGCAGCTTTACAAATCGCGAGGTACGCGCGGCTCGCCTCGTCAATCCTTCGGAAAATTTCGGCTGCTTTCGTGCGCCGCTGTTGTGAAATGGACGCGACTGAACCGGCGGCGAAAGCGCTGCAGCTGGGCGACGCGTCTGCGGGAGAGGCGGCGGGGTCGGATACCGAATCGGAGGCCGAAGTCGCCACGTTGACTGTGATGGGAGAAGCGGCAAACATCGACATCACCGAATCCCTACCGAACCCCGACGACGGCGAAACCGCGTTTGCAGGTCAGTGTGCGCATGCGCATCAGCTGATTTTGTGTTTATAACGAATCATTGATTATTGATAACAATGAAAATCTATTTCAGTGTACATCATACTGTCTTTTGACCCACTTAATTATCTTTTTAGACTGATTAGTATAAGGCTTGTTTAACCAGCGTTAATATTAGTATACTCTTTTGTTTGTTTGGGGGAAACGCAAACTATTCTCCTCACATCAGACTCAAGTAATAATTTTATTCGCATTACATTGATCAAAAGTGACGTTTATAATGTTACAAAAATGTTTACAACATTGAAAATTGTTTTTATAATGAGTGGCGATAAAAAAGATAATAATTGAGCTGCAAATAAGTATATTAGAATGATTTCTAAAAGATCATATATAGAGAGATTTATACCGCTTTCCATTGATGTATGGTTTGTTAGGATAGGACAATATTTGGCTTGAGATACAACTATTTGAAAATCTGGAATCTGAGGGTGCAAAAAAATCTAAATACGGAGAAAATCACTTTTAAAGTTGTCCAAAGGAAGTCCTTAGCAATGCATATTACTAATTAAAAATTAAGTTTTGATATATTTACGGTAGGATACCAAATTATATACCATATATATACCAAATTTTTGACGTATGTATGTGGTTCAGTATGTCATGTGCACAAACACTAAACATTGTCATCTTCCCAAAGTCATAAAGTCTGTGTTTTTTGCAGAGGTGACAGCCGTCACTGTTGGGGACGTCCAGAGTTCAGATGACACTGTCTTCACCTCCACAGCAGCGTCCATCCCTGAACACCTGCTCGTAAGATAAAACACTTCAGCCTCTGAACCCATGAATGATTTAATGTTGAACAGTCTTGAAATTGACATGATGCACAATACATTATTTTGTAAAATACAAGGAATGGAAAGGAAAGAAGGAAAGAAAACAAATAAAACAAATTAATTCACACTCTTACAAAACAAAATACTATCAAAATTCTATCAAAATACCATGATAGAAACCAGAGCTGTGGTACTGTACTATATTTTCATATACCATGATAAAACCTTCTTGCATTCTTTTATTTGGATGACTTTTTTTTATAATCAATGTAAAAAAAAAAAGTAAAAATCTGAAAGTATTTAATAATGTTAAATAACTTTATTGTAATGTTTTATTCATTTGAAAACATCACATATAAAAAACGATGCATTTTATATTTTTGTAGTTCTCATCTGGCTTATTTATTTGTTTGTTTAATTGCTTGCTTTTCACCATTGGAAGGTTTTTCCATTAAATAAACCAAAACTGTGGCATTGTATTGTAACTATATTTATATATCATGATAAAAACTATTTTACATGTCCAAAACAGGGTTATTTTAGTATCATTTAGATACTATTATAGTTTGTATGAGTAGGTTGAAGTATTTTTATTTTTGTTTAATAATTTAATTTTATTAAGTTTAGTTAAAGTTTTTTTGTGCGTTTGCCATTTTTATTAGTTTTATTTTTTTATATAATTTTATTATATATATATATATATATATATAATAAATTATATTATATTATTTTATATTGTTTTATGTAGTATAAATATTATAATTTGATTAATATTATTACTTATGCAATATATAATTTTTTTAATAGGTTTTATTCATTTTATTTCAGTGATCATTTTAGTACATCAGGTTAAACTAAATAAAAATGAGAAAGGATTTTTGGCAACTAGCTGAAATGAAATACAAATTTCTTATATTTTATTTCATGTCAAGTAGGGTTTATTTCATTTCAAGTAACTAAAATTGTTTTATGGTTTTAGTTTTAGTCCATAATAATCATGATACTACCATAGTACATTTATTTATGGTTAGTGTGAAGTAAATGTAAGGACAGCTATGTTTTGAATCAAAATAACAATATCATATTTAATATTTCTTAACTGATTGATGTAGACTGGCAGAACCACGCTTCAGATCGGAGACAGTCTGAGTACCCAGAAGGCCACACTGATCGTGGTGCACACGGATGGGAGCATCGTAGACGCCACAGCGCTGAAGGGCACCGCGACACCTGGTAAATTTGATTTATTTTGTCTTAAATGAACTGCAGTATTTCTATACGTGTCTGTTCTTCCCTCTCAGGCCCTCAAACCCCGAGTACCCCTCTGACGTCTGGACGCGATAAGGACGTCTCTAAGTACAACTGGGATCCGTCGGTTTATGAGAACGAGCTTCCGGTCCGCTGCAGGAACACCAGCGGGATTCTGTACAAAAACAGACTGGGCTCAGGTACACAGCCGTCACAAGAGGGCGGCACTCGACCGACTGATGAAACTAATTCAGCTGTGTTTGAAAACCTCTTAGGAAGTATGCAGGAGATCAAACACATGATCATCTGTGGGTTAATAAGCTATCAGGACAGTACTTACAGTAACAAAGGCTGCATCCTAATTTGTATGCTTATATTACACAGTAGTATGTTCATTGCACGATTTGGGGGGAAAATGTAATTGCGATTATTTCTGGGGGAAAAAAGTGATTTAAAACACACACAAAAAACTTTTGGTTTGTTGTGATTGTTTGTAGGGCTGCACAATTTGGTCAAGATTTTGTGATTATATATGAATATGGCTATAAGATAATAATTATTATTATAATTATAATGTAATATATATATATATATATATATTAATAATAATAATAATAATATTATTATAATTATTATTATTACGGTTATTATTTCTAAATAAATATATAAAAATGACCAAATAAAAAATAAGATGTATTGCTATTGTAATATTTCACTTTAAAATAAAAAATATAAAAAATGTATTTAATAAAATAATTATAATTTAAATTTAAAGTACAACTAAAATTACAATACTACTATATGGCTGTCTTAATTTTTGAACATTTAAATGTATTATTAATTTATAAATTATTGTTATTTATTTAGCAGTGAAATATCACAATAGTATAAAAAAAACTGCAGGGAAAGTTCTCACAGCAGGTTTTAAATTAATCAAACACCTCAAATAATTAATTTTAAGGTCATTAATTCAATAGATGATAATGATTCCATTAAAGTACGAAATAATTCACAAAAATAAGGTAACACTTTATAATAAGATTCCATTTGTTAACATTAGTTAACTACATTAGTTACACTAGCTACATTAGTAAACCATTTATTAATCTCAGGTATTGTTAATTTCAACCTTGACCAATACATTATTGTATTATAATGTATTTAAAAAGTTGTATCTGTCGAAATTATTTAATTGACCTGAGCTGATCTAACAATTAACAGTTGTGTTTTATTAACTGACATAACTCTTTTGAAATCCACGGAAAAATAGTATACTATTTGGGCTGCTTTGGCATACTGTTTTCTATGTAGCATGATTTAAGACACACTCGTGACTATTTAGGATGCATAATATAGGAATTGGGGCACAGCCAGTGACTGATATTTAACCTTTGACCTCAGGGGGCAAAGGGCGCTGTATCAAACACAACAATAACTGGTACACCCCGACTGAGTTTGAGGGTATGTCAGGGAGAGCGAGCAGCAAAGACTGGAAGAGAAGCATCCGCTATGCTGGCCGACCTCTGCAGTGTCTCATTCAGGTCAGACTGGCCTTCGGAGGCCACACACACACACACACACACACACACACACACACACACACACAATCGCAA